ATCAAGATCAAATCTGTGCTTAAATTGTAATTCCACAATAAAGCTCATGGACTAACATCCATTTCTCCAGCTTTGTGTTGTTGCAACAAAAATATTGTTATTTATCAGAAATACAAGCAGATAACTAGCCTGATTCTTTTCCCATTCCAATTTGATTTCCAACTGAATGTATAACATTTCTTGCTGTCAGTGTTTTCAGAGCCAAGTAATCATATCCACTATAAGTGATTCTGTAGCCAGATCCTGCACAGGAAATTTTTGTGTGAAACTGACATAAGACTACACAACCGAAAAGCTAGGTCACATTAGGTGTGATATTGGGAAGTAGCAATTTACAGCAGTCCAGTTCAAAACGATAAATAGCATAAGACTACATAACTATACCTTTCTGCAACATATAAGTTAAAATGTACTTTGGTAAAATAACTGGTACAGGTATTTACTGTTCTTGTAAAATTCTGTATGTGTACATTCATTTTGCTACCAGCAGTACATCTTTATCATAGTAGACACTTTTCCAAAGGTTAATGAAAGTTAGCAACAAATATCCAACTATGATGCTAAGAAAACTTCTACCATTACACCAATTCGACTTACGGCCTTGTTTTGAAAATTTCTCCTAACCTAATTATACAACTTTTTAAAGCTCAAATTTGGTTTTATCATCATAATTTTAGGCCAGATACAATTTTTCATATTGCTTGTGCTTGTATTTTAGATTTTACGGAGAAATGAAGTTTGAAAACTTGTAAGGGATTTGACCGCAAAAATCATTCAGGGGGAAACTTTACCCCCCTAGTCGCCAATCACGGTCAAATCCCTTATAAAATTTTTATCTTTTTGTTGTCATAAAATCAATATCATGAGCAATATCATCACGAAAACTTCCAAGTAGACTAAAATCATTGCTCGTAATCCGAATCTGTGGTAAAAAATTTTGTACAAAATAATGTGAAGAATTTTTCAAAATGAGGCCGTAAGTCGAATTGATAAATAAAAAGCATCCTTCAGCTGCTTTTCTCTGCTCCTAAAAACCATCCTTCAACATATTGGTTCCAGATTTCCAGAAGCAAGCTCATAGAGGTTTTCCCAGTACAACCCTTTAGCTTGGGGCTGATAACCAATTACACATTTACAGCCTTTGAGAGTAGTGAGGAATTTTACCTTGCTTTGAGTTATCATATGCCAGCAACTTTTTCCTGACAAGCTCTTTTATAATTTTGTGGCAACCGCCATGCTTCAGATTGGCAATTTGAATTATAAGTGACATTGGAACAATTTCATGATTCTTCATCCCCATCTCAACCTAAGCAAACAAAGTCAGAGTTTTCATAAAGTTAAGTTCATGTAGCACTTTGAAATAATCTCTCATACATCCAGATTTCGACCCAAAAATGCACAAGGAAGGGAAGATGGAAGGAAGAGGTAAGGAATAAAGGAACATAAACTTATGAAGGCAGTAAGGAGGGTATCTAGTTATAGGAAAAAACACTTACATCAAATATATACATTTAACTTTCATGCAGGTTTACGATAGAGAAAAGACAACCCCTAGTTACCGGTAGGTGCTCATCGTGTTACATAAAACTTCGAAAATGACAAAACTTACGGCTGTTAAGATTCTAAAGTCTTCTTTAGACATGTATCTAAGCAGAGAAACGTTCAGCTTTACCATGTTGGACACTTTCTGTTACATCAACAGACCACTCTACGTTCACATGGGATAATATTTTGTCAAAAGAAGGTTCAATCATAATAAGGAGGCTTGGCCTCGTAATCATCTAGGCGTACGATTTTTAAAATGGCGGACAAACAATCAGATGTAACAATAATACCAGCATCAAAAAGACCGGATGGAACTTGGAGAAAAGAAATCAGAGTTAAAGCAGGATACGTTCCACCTGATGAAGTTGAAAGGTATCAAAGTAGAGGACGAGAGGCAGCTGCGAATAGATCGTCACTGCCTCCTGGAATTAGCGTAGAAAGTGCTGACTCGAAAAAGAGTAAAAATCAGAAAAAGAACGAAAGAAAGAAGCAAAAGAAACAACAAGAAATTGATACAAAAGCAGCTTCTGAAGAAAACAAAACTCAACAGCTAGCTACTGCTGTAAAAAAGCTAGATATAAAGGAGGATATCAAAGACGAATCGCCTAAATTGTCCAAGGATGCTATTACAAAGAAGCTGAAAAACTTGAAGAAAAAACTTAGGCAAATAGAAGACCTTGAAAAGAAAGTGGCAAACGGAGAAATAAAAGAGCTAGAAAAGGAGCAAAATGACAAAGTTACTCGAAAAAAAGAAGTTCTTGATGAAATTGAGGACTTAGAACTTGATTTGAAGCTTTGTGATGAATAGGCCTAACTGTTTTGTCAAACTGGGGAAAATCTAATATTTTTAGGTAAAATAGATGCTAAACTTAACTGATCATTATTAAGTAGAGTCAGTGCAACAGTGACGAAAAGCTTGCCATCAATATCAGCAAGAATATATATATATTATTAGGCCTACAAGCTTCTTTCCTTCCAGACTGCCATAAATTGCCTACACACTGAAATTTTCCATCTGCGCATGTTGGCTGCGTTCCAATTTAATGACATTTTGCATCATTATTGCTACAATTTTCTGAAACTGTGATTTCAGCACAGACGCAAAGTTTAAAAATAAACTTGTCCCTGCAAGAAACAAGGTTTCCAGTATGGCTTTCCTTTCTATGATGCCCAAGGGATACCAGTTTGTTTTGGCAGAAAAAACTGTTGAATGTTTTTGAAAATCCCATTCTTATTTACTTAAATTAGGTAAGGCCTGTACAATTAAAGAAGGTCCCACTAAACAATAATTTTGATGAATATAGTTCTTCACTTTTGCAGATTTTCTCTGCTTATAGTTGCTCTGCTTATATCCATTCTGCTCGAAGTCACACTAATGGTTACAATCACATAAAATTGAGACCCAAATATAAAAGATTATACAATTTAGCTCTGTTTACCATCACACACTGTTTACAGTCACATTTGGTAGATGGACTTTAACTGGAGTCTACTGCATTTGAAGACAATAGAATCTACCAACGGGCATAGGTTGCAATGTCCTACAATCCGCAAGCAGGGCATGGCTTATGAACAGTGGCGGACACTTGGTCAAATATTGGGGGGGCAAGCCTATTGTTTTAATAAGATGACGTCACATTTCCCATTGTTTTAGAACAAAAGACCATTGTTCTCTGAAGTATTGGGGGGGTGGTCGCCCCCCCTCGCCCCCCCAAGTGTCCGCCACTGCTTATGAACCCTAGATGCAGAAATGGTAGTGCTAAGAGCAAACTAGATACAAGTAATTAAAGAGGCACCATTTCAACCCCTGAAAAATTGTGAAAAGATTTGGTCATATGAAATGGGGACAAAAATGAATTGGAGACATAGATAAGTAGCAATTAACAAGCAAGAGAAACTAGTACAATTGAATTTTTGGTAACCTAGTATTTTTGCAGTCCAATGGTCATCAACAAATAATCTATTGATCATGTGATATCCGAAATAATAATGAAAATCTTCAGTTGATGAGGATTTTTCAGTACAAAGCAAACTTCTGCCTAGAAGTGATAATGGCTACTCATATCAATGAAATCAAAAAGGTTGATATGAACAAGAAAGAATTAAATCAGTAAAAAATAAAGTTCTCTTCTAAGCCTACTAGGTATAAAATGCTACACTTTCCTGTTATAAAATGAATATAATGGTATTTAAACCTATGTATGAAAGAATTATACTACTTGCTAACCCTCACTTGTGAGAGCTTGTCAAGAATAGAAAGATTTGTTCCTCTTACTTCCTTTCTTGGCCATGTGCTTTCAAAATTGGTTTGTTTTCAATTTTCAGCAAGCATGACTACAATCACATACACTTACAAATCTTCTGGTATTGGCCTCTAGGTGACCCTTGCTCGCCTTTGCTTGCTTCAACTTTCTTCCCCTAAATTAGACCCCCTTTCTGTATTCCAGACATTATTGTGCCTTTTTGTGATAGTCTTTGTTATTCACATACTCTAAGGTCCTTAATAGAAGGGTCTTGATAGTTGGAGGGGTCAAAAAATTTGTCAAAAAATAAATAAGCAGGGGTGGGTGGTCCTAGTAAGTGGGGGGGGGTCAGAAATGTGAAAAATCTGAAAAATCATGTGATGATTCTTTTTTGGGGTCGAATGAGATTTTCTTCTGAATACAATCGATAGCAAAATGACAATTATCAGTATCACCATGTAATAATGTATTGTTGTTTCACTAAAATGAGCAGGCTAATTATCATTGTGTACATCAGTCAGGCCTATGTAAATGTTTTTAGGATGTCACTACTTTTCTTTGTTAAAACTTTTGTGCAATGCAACCTCTTCATTTGAGAGAAACTTTACAGAAATTTCACACCTGCAAGATCAAAGGACAAATGAAATGAGGGATACAAATGACTGCATATAAAAATTAATGAACGGGGGGTCCAAATAAGCTCCGGGGGGGTCAGAAAAAAATCAAAAAATTAATAAGCGTCCTCCCCTTTTATTAAGGACCTTAGAGTAACACACTAGAACAACGAAAAATGTTTTTGACAATGCCAATTTTTTGGGTTAATGCCTCTTTAAGATTGGAAATTTGATAGTTCTGGCACACCTGGCATTGTCAGATAATTTCTGCAAAATTCTTGCAACAAAAATCAGGCATGCTCTGCGAATGGGATTACAATGGGCACCAAATGAGCCTCAATCTTTGTTTCTTAAAAAAGATCTTGTTGAAATCAATTCTTTCTAGATGTGGGGTTTTACTCATTTTGTGAGTAGCAGTGACTTGCTTGGTTTTTTAGTAATCTTGAATACATAAACTATCATACATCATGTAATGAAGGCTAGAAATACTATCATACATCATGATATGCCATTTAGGTTTCTTTCTTCTCACTTTAATTATTTGTTTTTATTTTTTCACAATGAAATGGGATATCATATTGCAATTGATAGCCATTTTGCATGGTACTATTAAGACCTCTCATAATTTCATCTTCGAAAGTTCTTTCTACAGTGAACCTTTAATGCCTACACCACTAACTGAAAATCTGTTTTAAGTTGTTGAAAAGTTATGGTGTTATTATGTAGTTTTCATAAATAAGGAGGTATAAGAAAGAGGTTTTCTTGATTTTCTTAAGGTGAATTTAATTATTTTCAATCATTAATCATTCAAATTGAAATAATGCAAAATGACAAAATCAATTTGCTAAAATATTTCTTAAAAAAACAACAATGTTTATAAAACATTGAATTATATGCAAAATACAATACACAAAAAGGGTTGATGTGATGATATAATGTATACTGTGATTATGCAACATTATTTGTAAAGACCAACTTTGACATTGTGAATTGTGTGTTGTAACTGGGGTGAAGGGAATTGACCCCTTGCAAGAAAAATTTCTATTTATATTCTGCATTATAAGGAATTGTCTAATAAATGATAAATAACACTTTTTTGTGTTTGCAATTACACATCAATGTTGCTCTTTACAAATAAGGGTCGGTACAATTGCCAATTTTGTGTTTGACTTTTCTCTGATCATTGATGCCACAAAGTATGCTGAAGGTGGAGATTGGCTTGAAGGTATAAAAAATCCTTAAAACTTACTAATAAAAAACTTATCAAATAGGTGCACCACAACTGAAAACTTTCCAGGAACTTACTAGTTTCATATTTCCAAAGCCAAAAGCATGGTATGTGGTATCAGAAAAATGCATTTAAAGGGTATTACAGTGGTAAGAAAAATGCTGTTTTAACAAAGGGTCAGTTTTGCTAAAGTGCAAAAATTTATGTTCTGTACGTAAACCTGTCAGCAAAAAAATGATTCACAGCCCTGATATAATTAATTTAGACCTGAGAAAAGCATCAATACTGGAAAAAAGTTCTTGACTGTCCACTAACAAATGTCAAAGATCTCTGCTCTTTTAACCTTGGAAGTTGTGACCGTTTCTGTCTTCTGGTGCCAGTTAGGTTCCTTTCAAGCTGTTTGATAAAAAGATTAGCATTATGAGTGAATAGGATTCAATTTCATACAACAAATGCCAATACATATACTGAGTCTTTGAAATGGTGTTACATATTGTGTCTTTAAGAGAGTGTTCATAGAGAGCACATTCTACCCAAAATTAAGAATGGAAGCAACAACTTTTCATGACTCATTGCCTGGCAGCAAAGACTGGAAGTATTAAAACACCGAATATAAACATTTGGAAATGTAGTTTGAGTAAGAAAAATTGAAAAACTGACCAGATATCCTTCAGGATTGCTATTAAGAATTACTGGCTGCTTTTCAGCAAACATTCTGTTGAAATTTCCTTCTCTATTTTCTAATTCCATTCTGTACATGTGAATCTCCCTCTTTAGTTTTTCAAGCTCCTCGTCACGCTTAAAATGAAACATATATTTAAACAGTGTTAACAGCAACAAATTCCAAGAAGTCTTCCAAACAAATTGTTACAATTTCATTACTAAAGATGCTACCAACAATAAATGTTGCAGTAGAGTCCAGTTATAGTCACAACAAAGGTATCTAATAAAGATGTAACAGCAAGCAAAACATAACTGTAAATGAAGCTTAATTGAACACTAGCTTTGTGAATATGAATCAAAATTTCATGTGTCTGCAAATGGTTCTTATAAGCAGAGTCAACTGTATCTTTATAATATTACAAAAAAAATTTACATTTTGATGCTAACTATTCTAATGAGAATCTTCCACCTTTCAGCATAGTTTACACTTAGTTTGAAATTGATATCTCCATTTTGATGAAGAAAGTTCAAAATCAAATTTGAGTCTATTAGAATACACTATTTTTAAGCATTAGAAACAAATAGGCAAACTTCAACAAATCAATAATATAGGTAGTTGCCACTCTGAAAAGGACAATATGGTGTATCTTTATTACCATGAGGAGAATCTTAAAAGTAGCCAATTGTAAGGTGACTGTATCAACCTCGTCTTGACTTAACAATGACATGCTAAGGATCTTGCCCCTAGTTTCAATCTCTGTTTAGCTTCTTTTTTGTCTTTCTTTAAATTTTTTCACTGGCCTAATGTATTAGCTGTTTGTTATTTATTTTAGATAATTAAAATCCAAAAAAATGTAGCTTTTAATCTATGGCTTTTAATTTTGTCATACTTTGGATGACAAGAGCTAGCAAGAGACCAATCTGCAGAACATAGCAGATGTATGTAGAAAGTCAGTACTGCACATTTTCTAGATTCATGTCAATTCAGGCAACAGGGCCTGAAATGTCGGTGTGTGCATAAGATCTTATTAAAAACTGCAATACGCCGCAGACTGTGCTAAAGGTACTTACAGATTCTAAATATCTTTTTATTCTTGCTTCCTGAGATACAGCTTTCTCTATTGGTAGTAAGGTATTTTTATTGTAACTATCTTTAATGGAATTTTTCAACTGATCTCTTAATGCTTTAGCATCCTTTTGCAGTGTCTTTTTATCATTCTCTGCTTTTTTTAAGCTCTCCTGTAACTTATTGTTTTTCTTTTCAAGTTCAGATATGTTTTTCTGATCATTTTCTTGTTTAGATGAAAGAGTAGTCAAAGTTTCCTTCAAACTAACAATTTCTTTCGATAATGACGAGTTATAGCCGTCAATCTTCTGTTGTAAAGCAATCTTTTCTGCATAACTTTTTGTTGATTCATTCTCATGATTTGATTTCATTCTTTCAATTTCATCTTCTAAAAAAGTGATTTTTCGTTCTAATTCTTCACTGTCTTTGTCGATACTGTGCACAGATTTCTGGACTTGAAGTTGTGTTGCAGATTTTGAATTTCTATCCGTTTCTGGGGGCTTCTTTAATAAAAAGTCGTTATTCATCTTCATTGTATCAAGGTCATTTTCATAGCTTTCAAGCTTTTGTTTTAGGACACCAATTTCTAAATTTGCTATCTTCAAAAGATCTTCTTTGGCAACAACTTGCTGCTTTGTTTCTTCATTTTGTTTCTCTAGCGCTATTATTTTCTCCTCTAGATTTTGGGCGTCACCTAATTTATATTCGACCTTGGCACGGTACGACTCTTGTTCCTCTAACTGTTTTTCAAGCCAGCCTATTTGCTTATGGTAACTTTCATTGATCTTCTGGATTTCTTTTTCTACCAGCAGTTTGAAATATTCATATTCGACCTCTTTTTCGTGGTTTCGTTTAAACAACATGTGCACAACAACTGTTAGCTCGGCCACTTTTTTCGATAGCTTACTTGAAGTTTCTCCCGTATGTCTTGACGAAGCCATGTCGAATTAGAGAAGATTTAACACAAGGTAGGTTACTAGCATCACATGTCAGTAGCAGTTGAGCCTAACAGTCGACCCTACCAACTGACCGTAGTCCATTGTTGATCTTTTGCCCGCTTCTCTTGGATACCTGAGGTAAACAACAGGGCAGCCTCTGTGAGCCTCGAGTTGGTTTTCCCAATGAATGTCTTTTCGCATTTCAACGTGTTGAACACAAAATATGAAGTAAAAATCGCCAGACATGACAAATGAAGAATTTATTACCATTTAAACTGGATTGGGGGGGGGGGCATGGAGAGAAATTTAGCTTTTTCTATATGTACCTGCCTTACGAAATACTGTCAGATCAAGCTGCGCTTATAAGATCTTCAACAGATACGATTTCCGCAAATTTTCGGGGGGCATTGCCCCCCTGCCTCTGGTGTCTACGGGCCTGCCATTTAACAAAAAATTCAGTTTCTGTTGTATTCCTTAAAGTGAACTCTGTTTGTGAGGCACCCACTTTAGCTTCTTATCTCCTTGAAACAACATTTCACATTATATGATATCCTTTCGGATATTATATGGTTTTAGGAGAACATCGCATACCCTAAAACCAAAGCAACGCTTTTTGAAAAGACGAGATGTGTCAGTCAGGCAAATCTCTGTTATGAACATCGCAACTGGAGAAAAATGAGACACAAATATGCGAGGCTGAGTAATATCCTTATAATAATCTTAACAATTGGATGATCCGGTGCCTGAATATCATTATAATAATATTAAAAATTTTTGGCGGTACAGAACTTGAAAATGGCTTTGAAAAAAGCAAACATTTTACAACATATTGGCTAATATGTAGGATGTTTGCTTTTTTCAAAGCCATTTATAATAATATTCTTATACAAAAGAGTGTAACAGTAAAGTACCCTGTTATGAAACTTAGAACGCAATCGTTCACACGGGAACGCAATCGTTCCGTTCCATTTTTGTTACAGTTTCTGGAACGGAAAAGTATACTGTTCACACGGTAACGGAACGATTGCGTATCGATTTTTGTTTATGTTCAGACGGGAACGCAATCGTCCCGTTCTGCAATTTGAACGCCATAATAAGCAAATTATTTTTAATGTGCATGTCCATAATGGAGATAGATTTCATCATTTCGATTTATCTCTGAGCTATCTCTGAATTTTTTAAACAATTTGAATAAATGGAGAATACAAAAGCGCCCCAATATAAGCGAGCTCGTGGGAAAATGGAAGCCAACCCTAAAAGGAAGGAATTTCAATGTTTGCAGAATGGTGTTGAATCTTTTAAATGGACTAACGGCGAGATTCAACCCAATGGTGTTTTTGAAATCCTCCATTTTCTTCGCTGAGTTTATTATTGTCACCTTTTCCTTCCCTCAACAACAACACAGACGCATGCGCCAAGGGCAAAACTCTTATCGTTCCATTTTCTGGACCAGTTCTGCGCGTTCACACGGGAACGGAACGGAACGATTGCGTACCGCTCCATTTTTCGTATCACTTATTTTATCGTTCCACTTTTTGGAACGGAACGATGTCGTTTGAAGCGTTCCCGTGTGAACACAACCCCTGAGCGTTACGCTTTTCGGAACGGATAAGAACGGAACGGAACGATTGCGTTTCCGTGTGAACGGGACCTTACTGTTTACCGGTCTGTCATTAAGGCCCCGTTCACACGGGAACGCTTCAAACGACATCGTTCCGTTCCAAAAAGTGGAACGATAAAATAAGTGATACGAAAAGTGGAACGGTACGCAATCGTTCCGTTCCGTTCCCGTGAGAACGCGCAGAACTGGTCCAGAAAATGGAACGATAAGAGTTTTGCCCTTGGCGCATGCGTCTGTGTTGTTGTTGAGGGAAGGAAAAGGTGACAATAATAAACTCAGCGAAGAAAATGGAGGATTTCAAAAACACCATTGGCTGAATCTCGCCGTTAGTCCATTTAAAAGATTCAACACCATTCTGCAAACATTGAAATTCCTTCCTTTTAAGGTTGGCTTCAATTTTCCCACGAGCTTGCTTATTTTGGGGCGCTTTTGTATTCTCCATTTATTCAAATTGTTTAAAAAATTCAGAGATAGCTCAAAAATAAATCGAAATGATGAAATCTATCTCCATTATGGACACGAGCATTAAAAATCATTCGCTTATTTTGGCGCGCAAAATGCAGAACGGAACGATTGCGTTCCCGTCTGAACATAAACAAAAATCGATACGCAATCGTTCCGTTACCGTGTGAACAGTATACCTTTTCGTTCCAGAAACTGGAACAAAAATGGAACGGAACAATTGCGTCCCCGTGTGAACGGGGCCTAAGTGCTTGATGCCGTATAATAAGGCAGAGCTGTCTACCAGTGGCGTACCCAGGGCCGTAGCAGTGGGGGGTCTGGGGCGTAGCCCTCAGAAATTTTTTGGACCACGCCCTTCAAACAATCGCAAATACGGGGAAACGCCCTTTTTGCAAAATTTTCCCCTATCATTTGATTCATTTCAGCTATGGTAAATAGCAAAGTATTTTACAATTGTTATTGACACAAGCATACAGCATACTCTCCCCCCCCCCAATGAGTTTTAAATCGTTTTTGGACAAATCTTTTTGGACCCCCTATTCCCCCCCTTGGGTACGCCACTGCTGTCTACGATATATGATGTATGTAACAGGATGGTCTACATACTGTTAGATAGAGTCACCAAATAACAAGTTGGTGAAAATAGCAATGAGACTTTTGAATTCTAGTCCTTTTATTTTTACAAGTGGCACTGATGGAAGTTCGAAAATAGCTGATGAATAATCTATTTAACATACCCTTTCTGTTGACGATTGCCATGTTGTTGAAGAAGAAGATAGTAGACACAAGAGTAAACGCAATGACTAAAAACATTTATCTTCATTTTAAGCTACTCACTTAAGTGCGTGTCATTTAAAATTTGCTAAATTCGAAATACAAATAAAACCTTGGCAGAAAGATTTGAGAATAGATTAAAAAATAACGGGCGTTGCGATGGAAATATGCTACCAACGAAGAGTTAAATGTCATTAAAGTGTTTGATAAATTTGTGGTACATAAGGTTTCATCGTCAGACCAGTTTTAATTGTAGGAAATTTTTGGAGTTAGTTTGTTTTGGAAGAAGAGAGAAAGATTTTCATCTAGTGAACGGGGTTCCACAAAATTTTGCGGGAATGGAAAAATACTGTCTCGGTACTCTAGTGTCTCTGAAAGACGGGCCCCCCGGGAATTAATTTCAGAAGAATTTGCCCCCCCCCCATCGCTTATTAGCACCCCCCCTTCTGTTAAATTTTACAAATCAAGTCATTTGTTTTCATTATTCATTGCTTTCCATAGTTTATTGTAAAAACTCAACGTACAAAGGAAACCGGTGATTTTTGACTTGGAAGTTAAGAGCTGTAAACTTGATTACCTTTGTATGAATGCAATTTTCTCTAAAACTATGCTGAAACTGAAACTGAAACCAAATTTTGACAGTATATTCTAAAAGGTACTTCGATTTCAAAGAAGGATTGCCAACATGAACACCCCCTTTTATTAGCAACCCTTTCTATTGAAAACTGGTCGACATGAACACTCCCCTCCTTCTATTAGAGACACTAGAGTAGTCTGTACAGAGGAAAAAATATCTGAAATTTGCTGATTAGCACAGCTTTTGCACGGCTTTCTGTTTTCATGGAATAATATAGATAAAATGATATTTTTTTAAACCGGAGGCCGAATAACCAGGCTACATACATACATGGATAAACTTTTAGCTTTGACGTCAAAGGACTGTTTGCTTAAAAGGAGGTGAAGGATGAAACACAATGTACCGTAAGTTCATATGGATGAATGTTTACTGTGAAATGCTAAGAATTTAATGCAGTATGGCTACAACGCCTATGATATGACTACTACCATTTGTGCCCAGAAGTGTAAAACACTACGGTATTCCGGTTTGAATCATACTCTGTGTGTTGCTAAGTGTGCAAGGTTCAATGTATCGATAAAGGGGAAACAAAAATGTCATTGCTTTTACGCACAATGAAGACAGTTTGGTTTGCTATCAAAAAGAGTACAGACTTGAACAAAAAAGATGTATTTTAGTTGATAAAAATGAAGATACATTTAGCCAGAATCAAGACAAATGACATCTTCTATCCTGGGTTGTTCCATTTTTATATATATATATTTGTTCATTGGCTGGTTTCTACTTAGCATACGAGAGAAGTTTTTTGAAAAATGGGAAACATTGTTATAAAAGGGACAAAACAGCCACTTTGTTAAAGCTTCCTAATAGTCCCGTATTCAACAGAACATCAGAGAGATGCTTTCGAAGCCAAAGCCCCATTACCATCTTTAATCTGTCCCTTCTTTATAGCAAACGCTTTTTCACCCATATATCTACGCAAAGGCTTGCTATCAGTTGGGGTTTCTGTTCTAAGCTCGGGGGTAGCTCAATATGTTTGCAAAATTTTGGTTCACATTTTTCAGATATTTGCAGAATTATGGGTCCAAAATTTTAACCAAAATGACACCGTCCCCCCCCCCCCTCCCCGAGGCTCTAAGCTTGCCTGCAGTGCTCAGGTTCTATATAAGTTAATCACTTGTCATCTCTTCGGGTTCATTTGGCGCTCACTTGGGGTTCACAAACAGTTCACTGGGCGTTCAGATAGAGTTTAGTTTGCGCGCTCACTTTGCTGTCACTACGAGTTCACTTTGGATTCACTCTGCGTTCACTTGGGATCCACTTAGCGTTCACTTGGGATCCACTTAGCGTTCAATAAGGATTCACTCTGCGTTCAATTGGGGTTCACTTAGCGTTCACTTGGGATTCATTCTGCGTTCACTTGGGATTCACTCTGCGTGCACTTGGGACTCACTTAGCGTTTTCTTCAAGTCCACCTCGTATTTATCTCGTTTGCACAACTTCAGATCAAATCATTGCTCCACCATTCGTTCTTGTAGAGTCACGTAGCACCGTATGGAACGGTTCGATTTCTTCATGAATTCTGACTGTTCAATGATAAAATATTAATATAAATGAAGTTTGGGTTTTGTTTATTTTCAAACCGCGAAATTATTTTGCTGACGACATTACTTGTACTTTTTGCTAATTTTCGTTGTTTCATTTTGTTCATAAAAGCTAGGAGAATCTTTTAAAAGTAAGCTAGATGTTACTGAAAAAGTTGTCATTAGACTTTCGACTCTTCTTTTTTTCCTGCACGTCAACTTTCTTGGCCATATCCTCGGTCGTTTTTAAGCTAAAACAAAACAAACCTGTTTCTTCATCTCTCAAAAATGAATAATTATTAGAACCCAAACAATAGCTTGCACGACTTTCATTCAAGGGGGTTATCGGAAGCACGTCTAGTGGCTTCTTCGATAGCCTACGTCGTAGAACCCGCCCCCCTTCCAAACGAAGATGATGATAATTCCCGGTTTTTCTCCGTTGTGCGCTTTTTTGTCTGCCTCAAATTGAGTCGCTCCATAATATAAGGGGAACGACTAAAGAGGAAGGCCTAAGTTTTTCACGAAGAAAAATGGCCTATAGTAATGTTGCTCCTGTAGAAAAAGAGAAAAGCCGATAAGACTGTCTTTACGCAAGCATGTAGACTATACAACAAATAATGTGTTCGTAGTACGCTGGTTTTACTTGGAAGTACTAAAAAGCTGAGGAAAACAATAGTTGCTGAAATCGTTCCATAAGGGGCGACGTGACTCTATCGGACACTTCAACATGTCTTCTCTAACCGTTCGGATGCTCTTCAGGCAAAGCAGCGACTTCATTTTTCCCTTCAACAAAATGAATAAATTTGCCAGGTATGCCGTCAAGTGGTCCCTGGTAATTTATTTCAGTATCAGAGGTTGTTCCCTTTGAGTCCTTGCTTTTGCCTCTGCGTCTGTTAATTGTTTTTCTTGCCTTTTCTATCATAGAAGCACTGTGCTCCTCAATCATATTCGACACTGAACAGAGAAGACTTGATACCAGAGTAAACCCTGCTAAAACCCCCAGTGTCAATGAGACTATATCGAATTCTGAAAAATTGTCTTCGTAGACTGGTATATAATCACCGAAGCCAATTGTTGTAAAAGTGATAATGGCAAAGTATATGCATTCAAAGTAGGTCCACTCATCTCGCTTTAATTTAGCCATTCCTGCTAACAGGAGGATTGCAGCGAGGGTAACAAAAAAGGTGAAAATAGTGACTTTAAGGTGAACAGAATTGACGCGTTGTCTATCTTTATAAACTATGGTATGTATCCATCTGGTAAATGATATTAACGTGACTGTTATTCTCTCTCCTAAAGACTTCAAAGCAAGGCAAGCTATGGGTATGCCAATAATAGCAAATACGAGGCAGAATGCTTGTCCTGCCGTTGTCTTTGGTGTAATGTTGCCGTATCCTGCGAAGATAAAGTAGGCATATTGGTGATTACAAGGACTGTTACATAGAGTACATAGCTGGCTGCAACAGCATAAAAAAACTGGGTAATACGACAGATCCAGGAAGCATTTTATTAAAAGGTACCTGGCACTGTTGTGATGGGAAAAGGTATTTTAACTATATCATGTTTCTCTTTATTTTCAATGCAAAATTTATAGATATAAGGAATCGTAGGTTGAAAGAAGAAATAAACAGCTAAAAATTTTGACATATTTAACAATTTAGTTCGGTCCTGTGCTTAATCGAAAACAGGAAAAATAAATTATCTTTTCAAAAAGCAAGAAGGTTTAGCCAACCAAGAACTAAAATAAAAAGTAATGCTCCTTCTAGCGTTTCATTTCTAACGCATGTTTCTCAAAGGTCTTAAAAGAGTTTTACATATTGTTTTCAATATTCCATCTATTAGATGTTATTAACTATCTACCTTTTTAGACCACTGTGCTTGCAACTTTTTACTGCAATTTAGCTTTCTAAACATGTCATTATTGAGTGATAAAGTTGTATTACTGCTTTAAAGGATGAAAGCCTCCATGAAAGTAAGATGCGACTGTATTAAATAACTTTCATGTCTACAGAGCTCCTGAAAATGTGCCTAAATTACCAAAGAAAGATATCCCTAACGCTTAAATCTGGAGGTTCCTTTTAGTTTATTAACATTCGATTTCCCGCAATGCCTAGTTGTCCGAAAAATAGAAAGCCTTATACAAGATTACCGGATTAGATGTGAATGGTTAAAGCCAAAGCACTAGAAAACTCCGATAAACAATATTTCTTGCTATGTCTATGATATTTTGTATGACGCAAAGAAATCTTTGTCATTTCTCTTCTGCCTTCATAAATATAAATAAACCGTGCTTTCTTATCAAAATTAACAGTTTCAGTTCAGTTCGGTTACGTTTAATTTAAAATTCTAAATCATACAGTTCAAATTTCATTCAATAAATGGAATTCGCAATCATTAAATTACATCTAAAAATACATAAACTCTAGAAGCAGTTATTGAAGAAATTGTACGCCTAACTTTATTCATGTGTAACAGAATATATGTTACATTTACTAAGGAGGACTGGGAGCGGCTCTCTAGATTAATAGGCTGATTAGGGAAAGAACACCACCTTCTACATTTATTCAAGTGTACAGGGCCTTTTTAACATACTAACTAGGGGGCAACTGCCCCTCGAGTCAATTGCCCTTAGATTAGGCTATGCAAGTGTATCGAAATTTATGTCACAGTTTGCGAAGCATAAAACAATTCTTGTAGAAGCTTTATGAACAGAAGGTCTTGGAGATTACTTCTGGTACTGTTGGTAAAGACCAGGGGCGTGGTGGAAATTTTTATGGGCCGGGAAAATAAAGATGTAGGGGCACACAATTTTGCTCCTGATTGTTTCTTATTGTCATCACTTATTATGTTGGAAATGAGTGTCGTGGAGACAGCGTTGGGCCTTATTTCACTTGTTTTTCTCATAAATCTGATGTTATAAATGATAAAAGCTTAAAAGTAAGAATAAAGTTTTAAGAGGCCCACATGAAATGTTCTAAGGGGCCTACCCGGAACTTTCTCGTGACCCGATGAGCCACCATGCACCTGGTAAAGAGTAAGGTTGTGAGGCATTTTAAAGAGCTGTAAACAGAGGAAAAAAGACACTGAACCTGACACGATTGTTGTTCTTTGGTTCAGTACTACAATGATCCATTGCTATATAGCAATGTCTTTTTTGGTAAAAAACATTTTGGTGAAGAAATTAGAGAATTAAGCCAGAAAGGCCCTGTTACTACTTTATATATGCAAAACCACCACTTGAAACAAACTGAACTCTCTTAAAACGGAATTGATGGTAAATTCTATTCTGCTTTTATAAAGATTAGCTTTATGCAGCTTCAAAAAAATCTTTTTTATTTTCTAATTCTTTCATTACATAGAAATCTTTTCATTTTTGGAAAATACTTACCAACTGTTAGTAGCGTCGACCCTGCAAAAAAAACAGCACTTGAGAAGCTCCAATTGGTTGCAATTGACTGTTTTCCACTTTTCAAGATTAGTTCTTCGAGTTGGTTCATATCAACTTTGCTTATGTTGAATCTGGCCATGAATTTGTCCAACGAGCGGCGATATCGGTCTTGCAACTTTTGCTGATTTTCTTTCTCAACCAACTGGAAGACTGCAGCCCCGACCAGACAGTATGAAATAAACACGCCTAGCCTTATTAGTATTTTTTTCAAACTTGGTTTCTCCATCCTATGTATCTGGTTATATTTGCTTCAGGTCACCAAGGAAACCTGTAAAACGCAATGTAGTGATTAATATTCATTGCAACTGAGTGCATTTATTGCCTGGTCTTTTAACAGTATACAACAAGAATTATTTGCTTCAAACTTTGCGTCATTTCAGAATCTCGTCCTCAAAATGTCTAATGCATCGAAACCGCCTCTGTGTCCGCATTGTAATCTTTATTAGTCAATAACTAAAATATAAAGTTAAGCTAGATTCTGTTATTTTACAACCAACCGTCTTGAATTATTCATTGGAAAGTTTCCCAGAAATAAAAGGCTAAAAATTCTTTTTAAGTTTAATTTGTTTGACTTATTATTCTTTTTAAAAGGAAACCCAGGGTATAGCATTTTCGTTGATAATATTTCCCGTTTTCTGTTGTCTGTTTGCAAAATAAGGTAAATTAAGTCACTAAATTGCTGCAGCACCACGGACTGATTACAAAATATAGTGTTCATTTTCATTGATAATCCAACACCGCCATTAAGCAAGCAGTAACAGAGCTAGTTCAATGGCGTGTTGCTATCGACTGGTGTGACACCGAGAGGCTAGGGACACATGTTTCAGTAAATGGACATTCCACTTCCACTTGTAATATCACATAAACATATGGTGTTTTTCAAGGATCAGTTCTTGGCCCTTTGCAGTTCCTTACTTACCTTAATGACTTACCAAACTCATCAAAGCTTTTATCTTTCTTTATTTGCTGATTATACCAATACTTACAATTGATCTGATGATCTCACGAAACTTTTCAAAACATTGAATAAAGAGCTAAAGAAAATCAAATCTTGGTTGGATTGAAATGAACTTGCATTGAATATTGATAAAACTAATTTGTTCTCTCCCATTCATCCAAAAAGAGGTTACCAGAATTAATAAACCTGAAAATGGGTAATAAATCTATTAAAAGGACCAAGTATGATAAATTTCTAGGTATTCTTATTGATGAGCACCTCTCATGGAAATACCATAACTGTGAACTACATAAAAAACTTTCTAGAACAGCTGGACTTTTCTTCAACCTTTGACATTACATTCCCCTTACAAATCTTGCCTGCCACTACCACTCACTTTTCTCTACTTTTCTTAATAATGGTATTATTGTCTGGGGCTTAGCAATTGATTCTTACCTAAAGCCACTATTTCTCATACAAAAAAGTTCTCAGACATATGAACTTGTTACCATCTACTGCTTCACCAAATCCTTTATTTCATTCATTAGAAATATTAAAGCTTGATGGTTTTATTTATTCAAATATCTTAGCATTTGTTTATAAAGCTTCAAATAAACCCTCTCTAACAGGGGCTGCGCCAAGAAATTCAAAACGAGGGGCTCCAGTTGATAACATTACACCAAAAAACCAACTTTTAAAAAACGCACTGAAATTCTTCACGATATTTTATGCCTATGAGTGTCTGGAGCACTCGTTATGCTAGCAGCGGCTCGTTGGAAGGCGGGCGAGAGGTTGTCGGGGGCCTTAGGTATATCGAAAGCAGAGGTTTTCCTTGCGAGCAAAGCGAGCAGAGAGTTTTTGCAACCACGCCCTCTAGGCCAGCTTAAAATACGTTTCAGAATATTCTTTGCGGTCCTTTTTGCAAACATTTTGCTATTGACATTGCAAACATAAGACATGGTTTTTTACGTTTGATTAATTCCAATCTTGAAATGGAATGAGGGTAAGCTGTTTCATGCTTTTTTGTGTTATTTTACTTATAAATATATATATATATTCTTCTTTTCCTTTTATGGGGGGAGGGGGGGGGGCTCTTTCCTCTCTCGATTAGTTAACCTATTTTGAAAGCTCCTCTTTAGTCAGCCAATGCTATAAAAAATCTGTAGTGTTTTAATGTAATGTGTGGTAGAGTAATGTTATATTATATTTTGTGACTTCGTCTGTTTATTTAGTGTAAATTGTATTTGGTATTGGTTGATGAAATTGAATTTAATTAAATTGAGTCATGCAGCACCACCAAAGAGCGTTAAAGATCCTTCATGTTTTTCTCAGTCTTCAGGGCCCTTGAGCATGCCAAACTTAATGGAGCCAAGCATTAGGTTATCGATAATCCGGCAGGTTCAAAGACGCGATTTTCTGCGATTTTCTGGAAAATATTTTTCAAAGGAAAATTGTTTAAAGTTCTTATTATCTGGACAGTAAATTATTGATAAGGGCCAATTTCTTTCATTTCGAAAAATAGCTAGAGTTAATATTTAGCCAAGTTAAAAGACTTTAAATCTCTAAACACAGTTAATTTTCCTTGTTTTAGTTGATTGATATAATTTGCAGGTGTTGCCTAGCCTTTTGCAGGTGGTCCCCTGCCTTGAAGCTATTGTTCTGAGATTAGCCAGGGTCTTTTTAACATGCTGATTAGGGGGGAAGCTGCCCCTCCAGCCTTGGTAACTTTCAAGACAATAGGCTACTGTCCTTCTCTTTGAATAAGCAATGGCTTGCCCCGCCCTCAATTGCTTGCTCCGTCCCCAGCTGCTGCTCCTTTGCAAAAGCTACGAGCGTAGTAGAAAGCAAGACTGGCCTTTTTTAATCTCAGTGACTCTAAGTGAACAAAACTAGGGGTGGGTGTGGCATTTGAGTGGCACATTTCATACTTCAGATGACGGGATAACTTTGGCCAACTTTGCAAATCAAATGCAAAGAGATTAGGAGTAAGGCGCAGGGAGTGCTTTGTAAAAATTTGATAAGAAATTGAAGTGGCATTGCAGAAATTGGATCCTGATGTTGAAAATATTGCATTCGTATATTGATATCCTGTTGTTAATTAAATCGTAGTCAGAATAAAACTTGTAGTGGTAGCTTCAAGACAGTATTCATGATATAGTAATACTTGATTCGGGGTTGCTTTTGAGTTTACATTTGCGTAAATGAATTTTTTAGAAGTAATACCTTAGACCAGTAAAAACGCAGAGACCTTACGTACACGTTTCACGTTCTCGGACAACCAACACAACATCCGTTATAATTCATCACTTTTTCTCAAATTTTGTACGGTAGTATTCAACTCGATGTCACAGTTTTCTTCTCAAATAGTCGTCACAGTTTACAATAAAAACTTGTGCCATGCAAAAACTCAAGTGGTGTGCTCCTGCATAAACCTGCAGACTTACGATAAACTGTCAAGGATCTTTATTTTAAATGAATGTTTTGACATGTCATGAAGACTGAAAGCTTTAGAATGATCGTAGTATATAGACTCGAAGTAAGGAAATCCAAATTAATATACTAAAGAAGACATCCAAGTCTTCATCAACATCGAGTTTACGTCGCCAATTTCAAGGTCTATATTATCTATCAGCGAGGTCTTATTCAAAAGATATTCATTTGTTCAATCCTGTTAAGAGTCAGTTCACATATTCTGATCGCAACACTGAGTCGAGTCACTTTCTTATGGATATTGATGAGTTTCAGTATTTATCTGTTGTTCGCATCTCCATTTCATGTCATTATTCTGATACAGTATAATACTGAGAATACTGTACCTTTTCACGACGTAATTATGAAATAACAGATACGTACGTTAAAATATGTAGCTCTTGGATCAACAGCGTCCATGAAATTGTAAGTTTTTATCTTGATACAGTATGGGTCATGGTCTGTGCGTGTATTCATTTCAGATGATCAAGATAAAACGATTTTACGTTTACTCTTCACCATTCGAAACCGTCTTTAAAAACATTGATCATCGTAAAGACGAGTTTCTGTTCTAAATTATGCAATTGCTTTTAATAATTTATGAGAAAATCACAATGGCCAAATAATTTGCCTATTTGCACTCATTTTACAATTAGAATTATATTATGGCCCGTTGTTTTCTCCCATTACTTTGCTGTGAGTTTATTTTAGAGGACTTTGTCATCACTAGTACATGCTAGATGTAAATATATGTGAATAATGTTTATTGGACAATTGAAACTCAGGTTGTCTAGCAAATTACAAACAAATTGTATTGAATTTTTTCCTTGAATGATTATTTACATCAATCACCCGTTTTTTCACACACATTCACTGTATTGACGCATTTGTCCTGAGGCAATGGCCAATCACATAACATGAAACTTAGGGTTTGGTAGTATGAAAGTGTAGTGGGATCGTGACAATGAGAAAAGAACTTCACTTACGACTAGGTGCTGAGTCATTCGTCATAAAATAGAGTTTATCATAGATTACATGGTGAAGAGGTTAATAATGAAAAGGAGGACATTTCCTGTTTGAAAAATCAAGAGAGGGCAAGCAAAACGTTTCTCCTAGCATAAATTGAAAATAGCTACTTTATAGCATTCAGAAAAGCAGATCGGCACCCTGAGTGACACTTCATTATACCAATGAAGAAGTATGACTTTGGTACATTAGGACCGAAAGCTTTCGGACGATCAAACCATCGGGCAAAATATCGCCCGAAACTCTATTTGTCTGATATCTAAGTTTGGCAAAAAGCTTTTTCGTCCGAAAATTTTCAAAAACACAAGGAAATGCATTGGATAATTCTCTTTCTTGTTCTTGTAAACATAAATTTTATAATGTAGGATAAAAACACATGATGCAAAAAATTTTTTTTCAGTCATCGATGCATAAAATTTCTGGCTTTGATTTTCCACGGCGATTTTCTATGGTTTAAATTTTTGGTCTTCATGTAAAATCATCACTGGCAGCACATTATTTTCAACATCAATTTCTAGATCTGAAGTTGTTTTGCTGAAACTTTCCCGTCCGAAAGTTTTCGATTTTAGTGTAAGACCAAGTATGACCCTTTACAATACCATGGAAAAGAATACCAGAGAGCGATTATTATGTATTTTTGACACGATATGACCGAATATGAAGACCTATCTGATGTAAAAATAGCTTATACGATGAAAGCCAAACAGCACTTTTAATCAAGCAAACATGCAACATGTTGTAAAGTTTTCTCTTTCTCGGTTCTCAGGACAGAGACAATAAAGACACCTTCGATGGCACTTATCTTATGAGGCTTAGTGACGTTGGTCTATGATCTATGCATGTTCTTACCACGTCTAAGTTCTTCAACGAGCCTATCCCGTGACCTTGAACATATCGAGTGCTACTCTACCCATTCCTAATTATACATGAGGTGATATCTTCAAGAACTAAACTTCACAACACAGCATATAAATAATGATACATCTTCAAGCATATCTCAGTTTGAGCACAAATTAATGCAAGCAATAAAAAAATAGCAAAGCAGAGTCAGAATCAATAGAATAAGCTGAACAACGATCATTAGAATGCAAAATTGCAGCAACAAGAGGAAGCTTGAAAATTTGGCTCAAAAGATGAATCTTAAAAGTACAGGTTGCTTGCTTGTGTATTCCGGGCACCTGTGAGAAAAAGAATTTTGAAATTCTGAAAAAGCCAAAACATCCTGAAAGTTCTTTCATATGATGGAAACTATGCAGCTGTCGCTTTAAATTGGGTTATATTGAAATTCATATGTTTTTCAGATTTGGAATTGAATTTTTTGTGCATTTGTTTGATAATTTTCGTGAAATAAAATGAAAATGCTGCAATGAATCATCTTGCATGTAGATGGTTTTTGGTTGATTTATAACCACCTGAAAAAGGAAATGGTTACAAAGCAATGCCAACTTTAAACACGGATCTGTGCTGAGGAGCATAATTCACATTAAAGCGCCAAACTGTAGCCTGTGTTCCAGACCCAGGGGCGTAACTTGGCCAATAGGTTTGGGGGGGTGAAAAGGGTTTCTGCCCTGCAAAACTGAGTGGTGCCCTGCAGACCTCGTAGCAACGGTTTGTCTATAGGTTACTAGTTAAAGCTTTACCAGTGTACACTGGTCTTTACCAAGGACAAACTTCTAAGCAATAAAAACAAACTTGAAACTTCATTGCCTATGAAATATCTATTTCTCTACTTGAGCGTAAATTGTTTCTTTTATATTCACTTTATTTAATGTTGGTTTGCAAAATACTAGCTAATAAACAGCTAATTGGGGGGAGGGGGAGGGTACATGATGTAGACAGTGCAACGAAATTTAGCCCAGTGGGGCTAAGAATCAAGTTTAGTGAGGTAGGAGGACCCACCATGGTTGGGTCCGACGTGAAGAAAATTTTTGAAATTATACCTTGTAAAAGGGCTAAAAAGCATCTTTCAGACAAAAATTTAGCAAAATACTATTGTGCTTAAAGAACTGATTGTTTATTGAAAATATTATTGTTTATTGGGAAAAATAGGGAGGGGATAACCAGGGCTGGAAAATGTCCGGCAGCGCCGGTGTCATATGCGTTTCGGTAACCTTATGCATTTCGGTCCGGGTACCCAAACGCATGGCAATTTTGGGTATATGAAAAATCGTACCCAAGCACTTAAACAATAGGTACCAAAACGAATGGTAAAATTTAGCATGCAAAACGGTCCGGGCACACAAACGCATGGCAATTTTGTTTATACAAAAACGTACCAAAGCACTTAAATAATAGGGTACCAAAACGAATGGTGGAATTTAGCATGCAAAATGGTCCCGGTACACAAACGCATGGCAATTTTTCTTATACAAAAACGTACCCAAGCTTTTAAAAAACAGGAAACCGAAACGAATGGTGGAATTTAGCATGCGAACCGGTCTCGGAACACAAATGTTATTGTTCATATTTTTCAGAACGTAAAGAACAATCAAACTATTTCTAACAAGGGGTACTAACAAGAAGCAGTGCTGTGATTTCCCTTGTTAAGTTTATACAAAAAAGTAAAACATTAATGGCGACTCCAAAGTTTTTTTGATTGAAAAATGTGAAATTTTAAACTTAAAAAGCATTGTGTTCAATTTGTTATTTATAACGTGTCATAATATCGCACTACGATGAAATCACATGACTTGAAACACATTGCGTTTTACAATGTTGCACTTTTGCATAGGGTACCAAAACGCATATTACACCGGCAGCAGCGCTGCCAGGAAATTTTTGGCCCAAATTCATTGCAGGAAATTGTTGATGCTTGCCGGGAAATTTTTAGCGTGAAATCTCCATTGCTTGATTTTAATATGAACATTAAATTCATGTTAGAATATTTCTATGGAATGCTGTTTTCTTGCGATATACATACATACTGTATAATTTTTGTTCTGCACTACTAACAAAAAACGAAGATTAGCTTTCAATCATCTGGTATTATAAGCGTCTGTTATGCCAAATTTCCGTGCATGATTTTCAGCTACTAATTTCATTCCAGCAAGCTAAAACAAAGTTCATTCCTTTTTTTACATCAGCCATTCTATTTATGTAACAACACTCAAAGACAGCCAATCTTGTTACGTCAATTGTTTTGAAGGTGAGCATGCCCCAAACCTGTGTGGATGTGTCCATCATTATTTGTATTTTTCTACTGGCATTCGCATATATTTTTCATCACTTGCTTTATAGAATGTAAGCGTTTTGGTCTTAAATCTTTGCCTCTAGCACCACCCCTGATTTTAAAATTTTATTTCAACCATTAAAAAATAAAATAGTAATCTTATATGTTGTATGAACTGATGATAAAAATGAGCAGCAAACATGAAACCCAGAGCAAGATGTATCGATATATCATTAGTATGAAATTGATATGATATGAAATTTAATCAAAGTTATTATAGATTTCAGATCTACTTTCTTTAACCTTGAAAACAAACTATGAGTATCGTGCTTGATAACGTTCTCCTTGATCATCTAATACAGTATAAACAAAATGATTCCTGTTCGAATAGCTATGATCAAGATTGCAGGACCAACAATTAGTTCTTTCTAGTGTGACAGTTTGTTTTTAGGACAAATTTTTAAACAAATCAAGCAACTTGAAATATCAATTTCAGTGGCTGGAAACTTTCTCGAAGCTTCACAGGAAATCTTGAATTTTTTATTTTGCTGCCAGGAAGAAAAATATATTTTCAAGGCCTGGGGATGTCGTGCTAAAACTCTAGTATTAGACGTTGGGGAAGGAAAGAAACGACAACCTTTCGTTTCAGATTGCACGTAGTTGTGAATGACAGAGGGAGATGTTGTTTTGATTGGGAAAATTTTATTTCCTGAACAGAAATGTGCAGTTTCTTGCATCGAGAAGGCCATGTTTACACATCCAAAATTAAAACATTGCAATGATACAGAAAGTGATTTACTGAATTAATGCAAATAAAAGAAAAATAATAAAAATATACGTGAAAAGTTAGCAATTAGATGAAACAAAATCGGTATCTTAACGATTTATTATGTTTTTTAGTTCATGCACTGTTAAAAAGTAAAAGAAAAATGATAAAAAAATTCTTATCTTGACCAAAGTGAGGGCCTTCAGCCTCTCATTCCCCTCCAGTGACGCCGTGCTTGTCATGAAAATAATTTACAACTTAAATTAACTTGTATGGACTCAACCTTGCCCTCGTAAACATATGCATCAATTTGTGCATCCATTGACTATGACTTTCGGTAAGAAATGCTTTCGCTTTGCAAATAACGGAGCTTTTCCTTACATATCTGTTCCGTTCTCTAAAATGCAATGTCAGGAAGGGATGTTCATAACAAATACGATATTTCCATTTCAAAATTCCTAAACGGCTCTTTACGAACTTCAGAGGTGGCATTTCTGCGTGTTGCATTAAAGCTCTTCTTGGCGCCCTGCGAAATCTTCGATTGCCCTGCGAAATCGACTATTTTTTGGATTGGGGGGGGTGTTACACCCCCCCACACCCCCCCGGTAGTTTCGCCCCTGTCCAGACCCCTAACTTGAAAGTAATTCCAGACCTCTACTTTCAAGTTAGGGGTCTGGAACACAGGCTGAAAAACTGAAGCAAAGGGCATGCCAGATTAGTATATTTTAAATTTGTCTTGTACTGTTTGAAAGCATGCTTCAGTGGAGCCTTCGGTGCAACAAGTCTTCAATTTGTTCTTTCTTTGTACAGATAGGCTTTCGGAGAAATTTTCACAGTGAAAATGTTAGAACTACTTTTTGCAAAATGATAAATAATTTCACTTTCTGTCTGGCAAGATGATTTCAAGGAAAATAAAATCAAAATCAATTTGTTTACATATATAATTTCTTCAATAATGTAAAAGAACATACAAGTAACTGAGTTTGATCAGAAAATCAAATTCAAAGCTTAATTAATTGCAGTTATTACTCATTGCAGCAGTTACTCACCTCAAGTACTTATGGTTACGGTAAACGTTTTTGATACAATATTTGGTTTTCTCTCCCTAAAAGCCAAACTATTAGCAGAATCAGATTAAACTATACATCATTCGATGCACAAGAATGTGGTGATTCCAACCATATCAAAA